TGAGGTCAGGAGTTCGAGACCAGCCCACCCAACATGGTGAAACCCCGCCTTTACTAAAAATACAAAAAGTTAGCCAGGCGTGGTGGCTTGTGCCTGTAGTCCCAGCTACTTTGGAGGCTGAGGCAGGAGAATCACTTGAACTTGGGAGTTGGAGGTTGCAGTAGGCTGAGATCACACCACTGCACTCCAGCCTGGGCAACAGAGAGAGACTTTGTCTCAAATATAAACATATATATAAAATATAAAGAGCATTTGTTAAGACAATGAACTGACATATGCAACCTTTTTTCTTAACCTTTATTTTTTTTTAAAGTGTTTTAAAATACAAAGAAAGAAAACACACCAATATCAATTCCATCTTCTGGTAAGTATGTACATTTTCTCACTTAGCTATGTCAATAAGTTTAAAAAGAAATGTTTTCTTGGGGATATATTCATAAAGCTTAATTATTTTTATTGTTCTTTTAAATGTTATCTATGAAACTGAATATTTAATCATTGATTTCACCCACAAAATGTCATATCCTTGGAGAACCTCATAAACTTAGTTTGGAAGTGTGTTTCCTGGGGAAAAAATGTAAATATGAGAGGGAAACCATAAACAACAACAAAACAAATACTGTATCTTCATCTTAAACATTATCTGGGCAAGTATTCATTTTGAGGCACTGAAAGATCTTAAACATAGTTCTATTTGGTGTATCTAGGAAATAAAAACAATTACCTTCTGAAAGTTCCTCTGGAGATTTGGGTAGGTGCAGAAACAGACATGAAAAGTTAAGCCTTTAAGAAGATCGTGTTAGTCATCAAATCCAGACAAATGACATAAGCAAGACATTCAGGTCACCACTAGCAAAAGGTAAGTCGGGTAAGGCCTGGCAAGGCAAATGATCACCACGTGATTGGGCCTGAGAAACTGATTTGCCCTGACTGCACTGCTTGGGACAGTACCCTTTTCTGAAAGTTGCCTATCAAGACTCTCCCTGAAGGCTTTTTAACCCAGGAAGACTCTACTTGGTTGGCACAAAATGGAGCTTGAAAGGGAGAACTTAAAGGAAAGTAACAGGTTTGAGCCTTCTCTCTCCTCTCTCCCCGAGGCAGTACTGCAGCAGCTCTGTAAAGGGGAGGAAGTGGTAGAAATGGCGCTGGGGCTGGTGCTGCAGCAGCCTCTGGCCCGAGCAAGCGTCCTCATTCCTTCCCCTTCCTGGGTCTCACACACTTCCATCCCCAGCTGCCCCTTGAAGACAGAGGAAACTGAATATGAAACAAACTGTTTTGTTTTCTAGACATCACAAAATAGCCATATTCTGTTTTTTGGTTTGTTTGTTTTGAGATGGAGTCTCCTCTGTCACCCAGGCTGGAGTGCAAATGGCGCTATCTCAGCTCACTGCAACCTCTCTCTCCCGGGTTCAAGTGATTCTCTCACTTCAACCTCCTAAGTAGCTGGAATTATAGGCATGAGCCACCATGCCTGGCTAATTTTTGTATTTTTAGTAGAGACGAGGTTTCACCATGTTGGCCAGGTTGGTCTTGAACTCCTGACCTCAAGTGATCCACCCGCCTAGGCCTCCCAAAGTGCTGGGATTAGAGGCATGAGCCACCATGTCCAGCCTTTTTTTTTTTTTTTTTTTTTTATTGGCACTTCTGATTAAATAAACTACACCATCACCTTGTCACCTCCTGGGGAAATTCAAGGAAGTCATACTATACTTTATTCAGACTACAGACCGAAACTGAAGAAACTTAACTGCTCACGAAGCAGTCTAAGTAACAAAATTAAGCATCATGGAATGAATGCCAACGGTTCTATGCTTAGAAAATATGCCAGCTGGGTGCTAACTGTTCGTTAATTGAGCTCCTAAGAAAGCTGGGTTCAGAACGAATCAATGCTCGAGAGTTCTCTCTTTTCCAGCTGAGAGGAGTCCACAAGGGGCGCTCTAGAGTAGGCAACTCCCTCTGCAGTGCTGTTCATCAGGAACTGGCTGCTGACTCCCGCAAGGAACAAGATTTCACAATAATAACACCTGCTAACACTTGTGCAGCACTTCCTGTGTGCCAGGCACTGTTCTAAGCACTTTATTCATATAAATTATTGTTCCCATTTTAGAGGTGAGGAACCTGAAGGGCAGAGAGGTTAACAGCCAGAGAACCTGCAGTTAGTGAGTAATGAACCCAGGGTTCAAACTGGCCATCTGGCTGGAGTCTGTGGTCTCACCCACTGCCTCTCCTTCCACAGACCCACAAACACTCCCCGGCCTCAACCACAGCCTTCGCATGTGGAGTGTTCTCCAGTGGAATAGAACAAAGAAGGATGAGAATAAGCGAGAGAAATTAAAAACTAAGCCAATCCCAAACACTGGGCAAGGATAAATAATCAATTAAATTATTTCTAACAGGCCAACCATCTAATGGAAAATAGGACATTTTGAAACAACATAAATGTAAATAATTTAGGAAAGTGGTTCACAACTCATCTGTCTCAATGCTTTTTTTTAATAACTAATATTCGTAGCAATCTCTCTACTTTTATGAAAGGAAACTCATAGATGGCATAATCTACCATGTAATTAAAAAAATCAATACAATGCTCCAGCTGTAACATAAAAAATCATTTTAAAGGAAGTAATTTATATTTTTAAAAAATATATATGTATTTTAAAAGTATATACATATGAGGCAGACGGATCACTTGAGGCCAGGAGTTCAAGACTAGCCTGAGCAACATGGAAACCCGTCTCTACTAAAAATACAAAAATTAGCTGGGTGTGATGGTACACACCTGTAATCCCAGCTACTCAGGAGGCTGAGGCATGAGAATCACTTGAGCCTGGCAAGTGGAGATTGCAGTGAGCCCAGATCACACCACTGGACTCCAGCCTGGGTGACAGAGTGAGACTCTGTCTCAAAAAAAATTTTTTTTAAGTATACATATCAAAATATAAATCCTCGGGCATAACATCTTTGGAAGACCTAAGAAACTACTAGATGCTTATATTAATATTTACTTATAACAATGAAGCATGGATTCAAGAGAATTTAAGAAATCAGAAAATATTCCTTATATGAAGTACAGAAAAATAGAAAAGAAACAGGTGGACACCAGAATAAAAAGTGTTTTGGTAAGTAATAAAAGGCTAGATTTATTTGTATGTGATAAGAGAAAGAAGGAAATTGCCTTAATTGAGGTAAAGATAATATGCCAAAGCAATTAGAGATCAATGAAATGGAGAAAATGAGGAAAAACAATATGCCTGGAATTGGGTGGGTCATGTTAACATGTCCTAGCAGGTTTGCAGTTTAAAGATAAAATTCTGTGGGGCCTATTTTGTTTTTAATGATTTCAACATTATTTTGAGGGATAGACACTTGATACTTACCGTATGTCATCAATAATAACAAATAATGTATTAAAGAAAATTAATTCAGTATAGATATACTTTCTAGTTTATTTACTAGCAATATCAAGTAGACAGGATACGTGGAATAAATCATTCAATAATTGCAAGGCAATGTCTGCATTCTGTTTGAATGTCTCTCTCCATAATGACTGTCTTCTAAATCACTGTGTTTCTCATGCTAAATCTTATGAAAACTTTTTGTGTGTTGAAAAATGACCCTTTTATATTTGTAACAAGTTTTGTCCAGCAGGACATTCAGAAGATATGTGGGTCAAGAGACACCAGTTAAAGGCCAGGAGTATCCCCCAATCAATGTGACAATAAAAAAATGCTCCCAAAGAGTTCCAAAATGCTGCATCAGGGACAGTACTAGCCCTGTGAGAAGTACTGGTTAAGGTAAAATCTACATTTCACAACAGCACTGTTGCTGTATTTTTTAAAATACATTTTACTGGGACCAGGCGTGGTGGCTCACTTTGGGAGGTCAAGGTGGGAAAACCACTCGTGGCCTGGAGTTGGAGACAAGCCTGGGCAACACAGTGAGACCTATATCTACAAAAAAATTGAAAAATTAGCTACTTGGGAGGCTAAAGTGGGAGGGTCACCTGAGCCAAGGAAGTGAAGGCTGCAGCGAGCTATGATCATACCACTTGCACCTCAGCTTGGGCAACAGACTGAGACCCTGTCTCAAAACAAATAAATAAATTAGCCAGGTGTGATGGCATATGCTTGTAGTTCCAGCTATTTGGAAGGCTGAGGTGGGAGGATCGCTTGACCTCAGGAATTCGAGGCTGCAGTGAGCCATGATCACACCGCTGCACTCCAACCTGAGTGACAGATTTTTTCTCAAAAATATTAAAAATTAAAATTAAAAATAAATTTTAAAATGTATATTTGAGATTGACAACATGATGTGGGCTACATAGTTACTTTTTAATTTTTTTTACTGTTGATATATTTAAACAATTATTATAACCCTAAATATGTGTATAAATTGCATCAAAATTTGGAATATACATTTAAAAATCAGTACCAAATACTCATTTTTTTTACTCACCAGATTCAAATGTTTCTTCATCTATGATTTTCCATGGAGGCAAAAATAAAAAATGTTATTACATGACCATCTACACTAAGTCTATATTTTAAGTCTAATTCTCTGGCCCCCTACTTCTGCCCATACACCACCTTTTAAGTTTTTTTCCTAAATCAAAGTCAAATTGATGGTGTCTCTATGGCATATATCAACTTTAAATGAAAGACATGGTATTCGGCAGCTGAGCCATGATGACAGTCAGGGGTGCAGCAGGAGCTCAAAATAAATAAAATAATAGAGGATAAATAAAATAAAATGTGAAAAGCTCAGAGGGAAGGGGAAAGTGGAATGTCAGGGAAACCCGTAGAGATAGTTAGCTACTGCTCAGCTTTGCTGCAGACGGCTTGCTGACGTAGGAGGGGTGCACCCTGCCTGAAGAGTTGGAGACCCACAAATGGGGGTGATGGTGAGGAGAGTGAGCATATGAACGACTTGATTACGTTGGCTTGATCGGGTGGCTGAGAAGGATGTGAGATAAACCAACTTCCTCATTAGTTAAAACAACTCTTGTTAGCATTTTAAAGAAAGATTAGGATTAAGAAACATACATGGAGGGCAATTTGAAATATATGGCAACATTGCCAATGGATGCATCCTTGGATCAGGCAATGCTGCATCTAAGGTATTCTCATGCATGTAAAATGATATATTTATAAAGCAATTCATTGTAGCACTGTTTATAATAGAAACAAATGGACATAACACAAATGCCTACAAATAAGTGATTGTATCAGTGTGCAATAACCAATAAGCTGTTAAAAAAAATAAAGACAAGGCTCTTTATGTGCTAAGATAGAGTCACCTCCAAGATTTAGAATGTTAAGTTAGAAAAGCCAGGAACAGAACAGTGTGCATTTCATGCTATCAAAGGGTATGTGCATGTAGATTTAGAAAAAAAGATGGGGGTGATGAAGTGGGAAGGAGAAATATACACATCATTGCTTTTTTTTTTTTTTTGACATGGAGTCTCGCTCTGTCACCCAGGCTGGAGTGCAGTGGCACGATCTCTGCTCACTACAAGCTCCGCCTCCTGGGTTCACACCACTCTCCTGCCTCAGCCTCCCGAGTAGCTGGGACTACAGGTGCCCACCACCATGCCCAACTAATTTTTTTTGTATATTTTTTAGTAGAGACAGGGTTTCACCGTGTTAGCCAGGATGGTCTCGATCTCCTGACCTCGTGATCCACCCACCTCGGCCTCCCAAAGTGCTGGAATTACAGGCATGAGCCACCATGCCCGACCACATCATTGCTTTTTTGTGCACAGAATATGTGTGGGGTGATACTGAAGAAACTATTAACATTTATTGCCCCAAGAAAGAAAAATGAGTAGGAGAACATGGAAAGGGAGGGACTTCTTACTGAATATACCTTTGTAGTTATTAAATTTTGAACTATGTGAATTATTACCTAATAAAAATATAATGAAAATTGTAGAAAGGAAATGAATATTACTGCAAGTTTTAAAAAAAAAGCATACTTGGTAAAATAAACATAATGTCAGCAGTATTCTGCAGTTGTTCTGGAAAATATATGTGAATCATTGAAATGCCCACTGTTTCAAAATTTTATATTGTTCTTTCACTTCTAAGAACTAGACTAGCCTATAAAGCAAAGACAGATTCACCTATCAGACTAAGGTTCTCCAACTGGTCTCCTAACAAAATCCTAGTGATTCTTAAGCCGGTCTTATTTCTGCCACTAAATTTGAAAAATCTTTTCCCAATTTACAAAAAAATTAAAGAATAGAAATGTAAAAAACTTTCATGCATGGCTTCTCATTTTGGAACCTACTACTATTTATCTATACTAGAACCCACCAGAAGATGGCATCAAACTTAATAATAAAATATATATTGCTCTTTAAAAATTTGATACTGCAATATTTTATGTTATTTCACAAAGAGCAGAGGTTTCCAAGTGTTCTACCATCTGATACGCTGAGTGTTACTAAGTGTTCCTGAGATCATTTACAAAGCGCTGCTTTCTAGAACATTTTCTAGTAGATCAATGGGAACCTGGAGACATTACCACAGCTTCTCCTTCCAACGGCCAGAACTACAGAAGAAAGATGGGGGTGGAGGGTCATTTTACGCATTTCTCCCAGAGGAAAGGCCCATGGCCCCTTTGGACACCTCTGCTTCAGATAATCTATAATTGACATGCTTCATATTTCTTCTAACAGCAAAGCAATCAAGAGAAAATGTTACCTGCTTCCACACATTTCTCATCAATCTTCATGTCATCTTCTATAAAAGAGTACAGAAAGGGAGAAACAGAATTTAAAATGTGTCTGCATTAAAAACAAAATTCCATGGCCAGGCATGGTGGCTCACGCCTGTAATCCCAGCACTTTGGGAGGCCAAGGCGGGTGGATCACCTGAGGTCAGGAGTTCGAGACCAGCCTGACCAACATGGTGAAACCCTGTCTCTACTAAAAATATAAAAATTAGTCGGGTGTGGTAGGGCACACCTATAATCCCAGCTACTTGGGAGGCTGAGGCAGGAGAATCGTTTGAACCCAGGAGGCGGAGGTTGCAGTGAGTCGAGATAACGCCATTGCACTCCAGCCTGGGCAAAAAGAGCAAAACTCTGTCTAAAAAATAAATAAATAAATAAAAATTAAAAATTCCCTACGTATGTCAATAAAACTCATAAAATAAAAATAAAAAACTATGTATGTCAATAAAACTCCATCCACCTTATGATAAATTTACTTTTAGAGCTATTGCTTACTTGGAGAGATAAAAAGGGCTCTCCTGTATTAAATGAAAATGTATGATGTGGGAGGCTATATAATATAAAAATGGTGAAAAATTAAAAACCATAGGCTTTTGAATGCTGCACAAATTAGTTGATCTCTAAGCCACTGTTCTCCATCTGCAAATGCGGAGAGTAATAGTACCTACCATATAGGCTAGGATTGAGAAAATGCATGAAAAGCTCAGGCATATGCTGAGTACTCAATAAATGTGAATTCTCTTTACCTTTAGCTGAAGTATAAATAAAAGAATAAAGGAATATAACTTTAAAAACTACTTATCCTAATTCTCAAAACTCTCTACAGCACGATCTAAACCCAGCTTGGAAGGTTGTCGTCCGCTTCTTTCCTTCACGCATCTTACGCTACCATTAGAGTGGACATCATGGCCTTTGCTACCCTGTTCCCTGTGCCTGTCAAGCTTCTAGGTCCATCTCAAGCACTGATCAGAATGAATACCCCCTTGCAGAGCATTTTCTTCCTACTACCTTGAACTGTCGGCTACTGCACATCTATTGTACATCTATAACCATTCGGGGGTTTGCCTTCTTTGTTCTCCTAGACAACTTCTTGAAGACAGGGACTGTCTCACTAGTTTTTACAGACTCTTACTACAGTATTTTGCACATAGTGGGCAAATGATAAATTATTTCTTAAATTGAGTTTTCTTTTAAATATCAAAATAATTTATTTGAATATAGGTTCTGAATTTTTTTTTTCTTTCAGCACTTTACATCTTGTTTCTAGCAGTGCCCATCACATCCCAGGTGCTCAACAAATACTGATTTAATAAATGAGGCTAATACAGGTTCCAAAAGTACATAGTCTGTAAAAGTGTAGTCCAAAGTACAGTCTGTAGAATAAGCTACAATATAAAGTAATGCTTATCACCACCCCTTAAAAACTACATCATTCATTAATGTTTTTAAATGAAATATGAAACATTTTATGAAATAACACTGTCTCGTACAGTTAGGGACACAGATAAACAAGTGACATGGTTTAGATTTCCCGCACTGTCATTTGTTTACTTGTATTCATTTAGAGATTATTTTCCTAATTAATTAGATTAATTTAATTTCCTAATTAAATAATTAGATTGTTATTAGCCATCCATAACAACTAGCCATCCATAACAACAGTGAGTTCATTAGTTCCCAGGACATAATAAAGTTGCTTTTCTTTAGGGCAAACAAAGACTACAATTTTCACTTTTATTTTACAGAGGAAGGTACAAAAACCAGGCGTGATTATCCAGTAACAGCACAAGAAGCTCTGACTTTTCTGACGCTTGACTCTGATAAGTGTCAAGTGGCCCTAAGATAGGGCCACTGACTTTTGTTCTCCTCAAATCAATAATTCCACATTATCAGCTAGGATAATGTACTGAATTGTGTTCCCCAAAATATTCATATGTTGAAGTCCTTGCCTTCAGTATGGCTGTATTTAGAGATAGGGCCTTTAAGGAGGTAATTAAGGTTAAATGAGGTAATATGTCTAGGGTCTTAAATTGATAGAACTGGTGGCCTTATAAGAAGAAGAAAACATACCAGATCAATCGACCTCCCTGTCTCTCTCTTCTTTTTTTTTTTCCTCTCTCTCTCTCCCCGTGTCCCCCACCACTATCTCTCTTCTCTCTCTCTCCCTCTCCCTCTCCTCTCTCTCTCTCTCCCTCTCTCTCTCTCTCTAAGGATGCACAGAGGCAACACCAAATGAGCACACAGCAAGAAGGTGGCTGTCTGCAAGCCAGGAAGAGAGGCCTCACCAGAAACCAACCCTGCTGGAATCTTAATCTTAGACTTCCAGCCTCTGAAACTGTAAGAACATAAATATCTGTTGTTTAAGCCACTTAGTCTGTGGTATCTTGTTATGGAAGCTCAAGCTAAGACCATGGCCTTATCACCCACCAATACCATAGAGTTCCCAGCTCCCCTCTCCCACCAAGGGCTATGCCCAGGCTCCCTTCCACAACTCTTAACATGCAGTCTATAACGTGACCCTGAGTAGACAAACCAGAAGCAGGCAACCTGGACTTGCCCCTCTCTCCCTCTCCTTCTGCTCTTGCCTTCCTGTGTCATACACCTTTTTTTGTTTTGGGGGGACACAGATTGGAGCCTTGTTCCCATAGATTAGCCTTCAAAAGTCATTCTGCAGTTCTCTGGTTTCCCTTTCCAAATTCAAGGATGAACTGTGGATGGTGGCTAAGAGGACACCTCTTCTTTTTTTTTTTTTTTTTTTTGAGATGGAGTCTGGCTCTGTCGCCCAGGCTGGAGTGCAGTGGCCGGATCTCAGCTCACTGCAAGCTCCGCCTCCCGGGTTTACGCCATTCTCCTGCCTCAGCTTCCCGAGTAGCTGGGACTACAGGCGCCCGCCACCTCGCCCGGCTAGTTTTTTGTATTTTTTAGTAAAGACGGGGTTTCACCGTGTTAGCCAGGATGGTCTTGATCTCCTGACCTAGTGATCCACCCGTCTCGGCCTCCCAAAGTGCTGGGATTACAGGCTTGAGCCACCGCGCCCGGCCGGACACCTCTTCTTTCCCCTCTCTGGAAGCAGACAGCATCTTGCTTTGGGGTGTGTGTGTGTGTGTGTGTGTGTGTGTGAGAGAGAGAGAGAGAGCACCATCAAAATGAGTCATCCAGATGGTTGGGCATGGAGAAGGGGAAAGGCTGGTAACTGAAGGTCCCATTTGTTCCCTAATGCAGGGCCTTTTAGACAGACGGAATCTTGAATCCAGATTACACTGTTTGCAACTACTGACAACTGTTCTTACCTTCTCTGGATGTCAATCTTTTCATCCATAAGATGAGAATAATAATAATAATTTCACTATGGTGTTATTGTTAGGTTAGGTAACGTGTATAAAGCAGTTGAAACAAAACATCTCATCAGTTTCAAAGCTTTTATTGAGTTCTTGCCATATGCTATGCTAAACTCTGGAGCTGCATATAAATGTTACTTCTCTTTTCTTTATTCCTCTCAGTATTAGGACAATTATACTTTGCATACATATCTTTGAATGACATATGTTTATAAATTAAGGTATTAATAACTATCACACTACTAGGTATATAGGAAGAGCTTAATAAATAGCTGAATGGAATTAAAGTGAATTTTTTAAACTACAAGAAATTTCTAAAAGATGTTGGAAATAAGAGTTTTTTCCTAAATACCATTTCTTACCTTCTTCCATAGAAATTGCTGGGTACAAGCAAATGATTGAAGCAGGGGGGAAAAAAAGAACACAATATCTGTACAATAGTTTCTCAGATTAATTTACAAGAAGAAATGTAATGTGCAAAAATTATTGTAATTAGTATTCTGGGTTTATTCTCTAGAAATTCAGGGAAGATTTAGTAACAAAATGATAAATGAATACCTTATAAAACCGATATATTTGTGAGCCTTGTTGGAAATGGGAATCTACTTGCTTCTGGTAAATCCCACCCTCTTTCACCCCAGCTAGTTCTACAAGGGTAGTATTCTATGAATTTCTGAATTAACATGCCTAGTTCAGCATATTTTAGGAACCCAAATTTTCAGTGGAAGGAAGGAAAGAAGACAGAGAGATGGAGGGAGGAAGGGAGGGAGGGAAAGCAAGAGGGAAGACAATTGTAAGTGCAGCTTTAGTCAATAACTTTTTAATAATCATCTACAAACTAACATCAATAACACTTCATTAATAAAATTGCCTATATCTTAGGACTCAGTAGCCTGCCCCTAATATTTTTTTGGGGGGAGGAAGGTATGATAAGACTTAAGCAGAGCAGAAATGTACAAAGTAATATTAATTGTAGGATCATCTGTAATAGTTGAAAATAAATGATCTTTTTAGTAGTTTATAAAATAATCATGTCTATCGGAAACATTCCCTGAGAGAGGGGACCCTTTAAGTCAGTGGCTCCAAACCTGAGGCTCGTGGACCTAGAGATTTGTGAGGATAATAATAGAGTATTGCAAACTATTTTCAGCATGGACTTGTAGAAAGTCTAATACAAATCACACAGAGCACATAACCAAATTAAATGGCAACTAGAGGTTATACTACAGGTAATTATCAGATGCTGATTAGAAACTGTAATTAGCATTTTCATGTGCCTTTGACAAATGAAAGTTTGGTTTTAAAAAAAACTTTTTCAAAACATGGAAGAAGTAACTAAAATATCACTATGAAGATTGTGTCATGAAAAATGTTTCTGATAAGATGTTAAGTGAAGTGGCTGGCAAGATGGCTGAATAGGAATAGCTCTGGTCTGCAGCTCCCAGTGAGATGAATGCAGAAGGCAGGTGATTTCTGCATTTCCAACTGAGGTACCTGGCTCATCTCACTGGGACTGGCTAGACAGTGGGTGCAGCCCACGAAGGGCAAACCAAAGCAGGGTGGAGCGTTGCCTCACCCAGGAAGCACAAGGGGTTGGGGAACTCCCTCCCCTAGCTGAGGAAAGCTGTAAGAGACTGTAAGGAACTGGGACGCCAGCCCAGATATTACCCTTTTCCCACGTTCTTCACAACCCACAGACTAGGACATTCCCTCGGGTGCTTACACCAGCAGGGCCATGGGTTTCAAGCACAAAACTGGGCAGCCGTTTGGGCAGACACCAAGCTAGATGCAGGAGTTTTTGTTTGTTTGTTTTTCATACCCCAGTGGCGCCTGGAATACCAGCAAGACAGAACCGTTTGCTCCCCTGGAAAAGGGGCTGAAGCCAGGGAGCCAAGTGGTCTTGCTCAGCGGATCCCACCCCCATGGAGTCCAGCAAACTAAGATCCACTGGCTTGAAATTCTCGCTGCCAGCACAGCAGACTGAAGTTGAACTGGGACACCCCAGCTTGGTGGGGAAAGGGGCGACCGCCATTACTGAGGCTTGGGTCGGCGATTTTCCTCTCACAATGTAAACAAAGCCACTGGGAAGTTTGAACTGGGTGGAGCCCTCTACAGCACCCCAAAGCCACTGTAGCCAGACTGCCTCTCTAGATTCCTCCTCTCTGGGCAGGGCATCTCTGAAAGAAAGGCAGCAGCCCCAGTCAGGGACTTACAGACAAAACTCCCATCTCCCTGGGACAAACAGTCACCTGGGGGAAGGGGTGGCTGTGGGCGCAGCTTCACTAGACTTAAAAGTTCCTGCCTGCCGGCTCTGAAGAGAGGAGCAGATCTCCCAGCACAGTGCTCAAGCTCTGCTAAGGGACAGACTGCTTCCACAAGTGGGTCCCTGGCCCCTGTGCCTCCTGACTGGAAGACACCTCCCAGCAGGGCTTGACAGACACCTCATACAGGAGAGCTCCAGCTGGCATCTGGCAGGTGCCCCTCTGGGATGAAGCTTCCCAAGGAAGGAGCAGGCAGCAATCTTTGCTGTTCTGCAGCCTCCACTAGTGATACCCAGGCAAACAGGAACTGGAGTGGACCTCCAGCAAACTCTAGCAGACCTGCAGCACAGAGGCCTATTTTGAAGGAAAACTAACAAACAGAAATAGCATCAACATCAACAAAAAGGATGTCCATTCAGAGGCCTCATTTGAAGGTCACCAACATCAAAGACCAAAGGTAGATAAATCCATGAAGATGAGGAAAAAACAGTGAAAAAAGGCTGAAAATTCCAAAAACCAGAATGCCTCTTCTCCTCCAAAGGATCACAACTCCTTGCCAACAAGGGAGCAAAACCGAATGGAGAAAGACTTTGACGAATTGACAGAAGTAGGCTTCAGAAGGTGGGTAATAACAAACTCTTCTTTGCTAAACAAGCATGTTCTAACCTAATGCAAGGAAGCTAAGAACCTTGAAAAAGGGTTAGAGGAATTGCTAACTAGAATAACCAGTTTAGAGAGGAACATAAATGACCTGATGGAGCTGAAAAACACAGCCCAAGAACTTCATGAAGCATACACAAGTATCAATAGCCAAATCAATCAAGCAGAAGAAACAATATCAGAGATTGAAGATCAACTTAATGAAATAAAGCATGAAGACAAGATTAGAGAAAAAAGAATGAAAAGGAATGAACAAAGCCTCCAAAAAATATGGGACTATGTGAAAAGACCAAACCTACATTTGATTGGTGTACCTGAAAGTGACAGGGAGAATGGAACCAAGTTGGAAAACATTCTTCAGGATATTATCCAGGAGAACTTCCCCAGCCTAGCAAGACAGGCCAACATTCAAATTCAGGAAACACAGAGAACACTACAAAGATACTCCTTGAGAAGAGCAACCCCTAAACACTAAATCTTCAGATTCACCAAGGTTGAAATGAAGGAAAAAATGTTAAGGGCGGCCAGAGAGAAAGGTTGGGTTACCCACAAAGGGAAGCCCATCAGACTAACAGTGGATTTCTCAGCAGAAACCCTACAAGCCAGAAGAGAGTGGGGGCCAATATTCAACATTCTCAAAGAAAAGAATTTTCAACCCAGAATTTCATATCCAGTCAAACTAAGCTTCACAAGTGAAGGAGAAATAAAATCCTTTACGGACAAGCAAATGCGGAGAGATTTTGTCACTACCTGGCCTGTCTTACCAGAGCTCCTGAAGGAAGCACTAAATATGGAGAGGAAAAACCAGTACCAGCCACTGCAAAAACTACCAAATTATAAAGACCATTGACACTATGAGGAAACTGCATGAACTAACAGGCAAAATAACCAGCTAGCATCATAATGACAGGATCAAATTCACACATAACAATATTCACCTTAAATGTAAATGGGCTAAATACCCAATTAAAAGACACAGACTGGCAAATTGGATAAAGAGTCAGGACCCATCAGTGTGCTGTATTCAGGAGA